TACAGCCAATATTTTGGGTATTATACTGAAGCCAAAGCGGCGAAACTGCACATCATACATAAATAATACAAATTGAGATTGGTCATGAGGATCTTTTGTGGAAGAGCTAATCCAACCACTGGTGCAATGGAGTGGTTAGAAGAGGATGAGAACTACGACTACCATCAGGAAATAGCAAGGTACACTGGAAAAAATAGCTTGTTGTTCCACTAAAGCTACAAAAAAGAGCAAACCCAACTTGTTTTTATGACAGTTTTTGGATTTACCTCTGTAGAGGTTCCAAGGGCACGAGATGAACAGACTGTAGAACAGTCTAAATGTTACAGTGCCCTGTGTTGTACAGGACAGAAGGGTAAATGTAGAAGTTTGTAAAGTATTGTGTAGAAGTTTGTACAGTATTGTATAGAAGTTTCCTTCTATATTTTTTAAACATTTTCTAAGTCGCTTATCTTAATGCTGGTGACTTGTGGCAAAATGCTTTGACTAAATTTCTTTTAAATCCCCAGTGCAACAAATAATTGCCAATTGCCTATTCCTTTGTAAGAGCTTAATGTAACAGTCAGAAAAGTTCGGATGATTAAATTTTTGGGTATTTTTAAATAATGTGACCATGTAGAAATGGGGACCAAAGAAATTCAGCTCTCGGTAACAAATGTTAGACTGTTATTAGACTGTCTTTCATTGCTGTGTGTTGCTCTGTCTGAACCTCTGTCTATCCCAGCTGTTATTTCACAGCTGTTTATCCATGGGTCTATGTTTTGGGTCCTTTGCTGGAGAGAGGACATATGCCAGCAGTTAATTAGTTCATTTATATGCTCATGACCAGATCACTGAAATTACATTATCCCTTAGATTTGGGAAACAATTCAAATCTCCAAAGAACATATCGGTTATCTGTGCGTTTATGGGCCATGGGAACCAGTTGCCTCAGTAAGAGAAATCGAAGGAGGTTATACGAGATCCAGCAGCTTTGTAGTGCTTTGCAGTACGTAGGATTTTGACTGCGTTTTTTTTTTATTGTAGATCACGCTACGCAGACATGCTTCATGATAAAGACAGAGTAAGTATAGGAGCAAAAGAGCCTTTTGAATGGGGAGAAAATACTCATTTCCTTCCTCTTGAATAGCTGTCATTGCATGATTATACAGATTTCTCTGAAAGATGAAATGTTCAAATTTGTACCCTTTAAGATACTAGACCTGCTCTTAGATCAACAGATGCCTTCTTACATCTGACTCTAGTGTTCTGTTGTTTGCTGCAGAACATGATATTTACATTTAGTAGCTGATTTTGCTGTTCTGTGTTTGACATTTTTGACAGAGAGAGCTCATTAGGTGAAATTTCAAAGGCTGTAAATGTGAATCTAGGCTTCTTAGTTTTATAGGAATGTAAATAAAGTCTCTTTGTTCTTTTGTTTTATTTTTAGGTTTGAATGTTCTTTCTGCTCTAGCCATTTAGTCAACCATTTAGTCAATAGCCTTTTAAAGGCATCTATGGTGCCTATACTTTGAGTCTTGAATTCATACTGAATTAAAATATGCCAGAGGAGGGATCAGGCGTTTAATAAGCCATGTAGAGACAGCAAGTTGTGTCTAAGTAATTAAAACAATTCTACTGGAATTTTATATCAAAAGTGTTAACTAGAATTGTTCATAAAGGGATCCAGCAGACCTTCTAGATTTATGACGTCCAAAGATAGTGTATTATTTGGAAAAGTTTGGTAAATCATTTGGAAAGGAATGTCTTACAATAGACTGTTACGGAGTAAATATAAGCATATATTTCAGTTTGTGTCCTGTAGCTGACAGATGACAGGATCTGTTTTTTTTTCCTGTTGTTATTACTGGTATGCATGTAGCCCCACTTAACGGCGCATAACCAGAAGCCTGTGTTTACACGTGTTGCTTCTCATCTATGAATGTTTTCCGGTAGATTAAGAGAGGAATCTAAATCCAAGATACTTCAGCTCTTGTGCTGTCATAGGCACTATATGACTATTTGAGTGGTGCTGGGGGGGAAAATAGCAAGAAAATCAGTAGTATCTCACATGAATCTTACTATTATTTTTATATCTAGAAAACGTATTGAATTTGTAAATTATGCATGCACTGTAAGTAGCTGATTGATCAATGATGAGTGAGTAGTGTGATAAAAATTGATGTGCTTTAAATGGACTGATCCCTCTAAAAACACTTGCTTTTGCTTTGATATGACTATCAAATGGCTTTGATATGACTAGAGCATAAAGAATGTCTGTAGGCTTTTTTCTAATTTTGATCTCACAGTCGAGAATGCAAGATTTCTGCACAAAAGTTAGAAGTATAAGTAGATGAAAGGTCTTAGTAGATAATGTAGATAAAATCCATCTTCTTTTTTTTTTTTCCCCTCTCCACAGAACGTGAAGTATTACCAAGGTATTCGTGCTGCAGTGAGCAGAGTAAAAGAAAGAGGTGAGAAAGCAATTGTTCTAGACATAGGGACTGGCACAGGACTCCTGTCTATGATGGCAGCTTCAGCAGGTGCAGATTTCTGCTATGCAGTTGAGGTAAGTGTTTGTTGCTGGTTGCACATACTTCTGCATGCATGTTCATAACCTCTTTTTAGAGCTTTAGTGTAGTTGTTCTGTCTGAATGATCCATGCTCTGGACACGTTTCCTATTTTGTATTATGGTTTCTGAAGTGCAAGTTTGATGGTTTTATGTGTGTGAAGAATACTTAGATCTTACAAGAATATGGTTGAAAAGACGTAATATGTTTTTTCATTCTTGGGATGGCTTCTGTAAATGTACATATTAACAGCACTAAGGTTTTTTAGTGTCCTGTCTTCTCTGCTTATCAAAGCTCAGTGTAATATGGAAAACTTGATTAATGTTTTTGAAAAATGTGAGTATTCTCAGACTATATTGCTAATGTTCATAAGTTTCAGCTCTTGGAGGTGGGTTCTCACTTAATCATAACATGCACCCCATCTTAATAAAGAGACTGTCTCATAAACTTGTTTTCCATCTCTTTGTGATCCGATAGAGCATCTTCTGTTTTATTGGCAGTTAAGAAACATCCTGAGGGTCGTTAGCAGTCGTTACTTATGTGAAGGGTAGCAACAGGAACATTTTGGCCGGTTCGTTTATTTTTTTTTACACATTTGAAGAAACAAATAGAAGATTCACTTGTCTATAGGTCATAGTTGGAAGGGTTTGCTGTGATTTTTATCCATGTAAAAATCTACCTTTTTTATCTAGGATTTTATCCTGTGATCATTTTTCAGTCACAGTCATCTTTTGTATAAGTGCAGGAAGCAAAAAACTCCAGAATAAATCTGTTCACAACCTGTCATAGGGAAGGGACAAAGTGAAGTGGTAGGAGGGGTCTGTTGTCTTCTGCTTAGTAGTTTATTGACCACTCTGGCAGAGGAGGATCACTAGCTTGTGGGAGGAAAGGAGGCCCATAATGGAAAATAAAACCATAATCTGAAAAGTCTGAGAGCTACTGGTATAGATGTTCTAATAGCAATACATTATTCCAGTTCTGGAACTTGGGCTGTGTGCCAAAGTGGCTATAGATTTCTTTTTAGGTAGTCAGGTGGTGTGGCTGAGTAGAATATTTAACATTTTTTAGTTTAAAAACTGGGTAGAGATGTTAAGCCCTTTCAACACATTCTTCATTGTTTGCTATTTTCAAGCTATATACTTTCTCTGTTCTTCTCTTTGTCATAAATGAAATAAAAATTCACTTCACAGTTATGTTAATTAAAGCAGATTTTTGGGATACTTAAGTGACCATTTCAGTGCTGGTTGTTTTCAGTTCTTTTATTTTACGTATTTATTTGTTTTATAGCTTGAGCACATAGAAGTCTTTTAGGGCCTCTCTTGATGCATATATTCCTTTACTTTTAAAAACAGCAAGTTTGTCTAAATGCTAAAGTATTCTTAATGTGTATTCTTTCGGAAGTTAAATCGGAGTAGTTTTTGGAGACGATTGATAATTTGTAACAGTGACATTGGAGCTCTATGAACTTTTGAAGCGAGGCTTGCTGTCTTGTTTCATGGTAATGAACTTCAAACATAGGAAAAGATACAAAAGGTGTTAAGATTTTTGCAGGACTAGATAATGCTTCGTTTTGTGTTGGTGTCCTTTCATTTTTGAAAACTAATATTAGTTTACTAGTTTGTTACACTCTCGCTATTTACAGGTTTTCAAGCCCATGGCTAATGCTGCTGTGAAGATAGTGGAGAAGAATGGTTTTCGTGACAAGATCAAGGTAATCAACAAGCACTCCACTGAAGTCACTGTTGGCCCAGGTGAGAAAATAGGCTAAGGTTAAAAAAATTGACAAGTACTTAAAAACGTGGAGGAATATGTCTTTTTGTTATTTTCTGAATGTGTTTAATTAAAACAAGCAAATCCTTTGCTCTCTAGAAAGTCATACTGGAAATTTACTTCAAAAGGAAGTGTTGTAATAGTATTGCAGTAGTCATTTGTATTTCATAGTCAGCTTCTAAAGGAATATAATTTGGAGTCTTCAGCAGGCTCTCTAACAGGAATAAGTTTGTTTTTTTTAATTACTTGTGTTTTCAGAATAGCATTTTCTTGAAAGACTTACATAAATTCTTAATATTACAATATTAAATTGTGTCTTTTAGATGGAGATATGCAATGTCGTGCAAACATCCTGGTAACAGAATTATTCGATACAGAGCTGATAGGAGAAGGAGCTTTACCAAGCTATGAGCATGCACACAAATATCTTGTGCAGGTAAGAAAACAGAAATTGATAGTGTGTCAGATTTATCCCTAGAAAAACTCTTGTCTTTTCTTGGAGTAGACTAGAGATTATATTTGATTTAGACTTCTGTATCCTTTGTAAATATGACATCAGCTGTGCTCATTTCTTATTCAGTGAGTAGTTTACTCGATTCATTGCTAGAGTAAAGCTATTGGGGAATAAAGCAGTACAGGCTCTGAAATTACGCTTAGTTGCTTTGTGTTAAGACCAATAACTTTCTAGTTAACAAATGCCTTTCAGAAAGGCATGAATTTCTGATTTGGAGCTTTCCGTAGTAGTTTGTTCCAATGGCAAATAGGTCCCAAGATGTTTTCAAATTTAGGCAGAGAATTTCGTTTTTGGTGAGCTTCATCTCCCAGGCATTGATTGTAGGTTTTGGGTTTTTTTTTCCCTAAGTAGCTCTTGCTACTTCACATGCTTTTTTTGCCTGTGGAAATACTTTAAACACTGTAATCAAATTAATATAAATTTTTTTCTGGTCATGTAATCTATAGGTATAATTTTAGGGCTTTCTCTTTTACCCTTTCTAATTTTTTCCTTTAACTAAAACGTGGATGGCAAAACTTCATTTAGGTTTCTAAGTTTTAGTGCTCTCCATATATAACTCTAAATTGTAATTGGTCCTTTTAGTAAAAGCATTGTAGTTGGACTTCACAGTTAGCTCTTAGTTCACAGTGTTGGGTTTTTTTTTAGAACAACTTACTTGTTTTCTACTCTTTAAACGTGGATACAAAGTTGTCATTGCTTAAATATTGGAGCCGTTATTTTTCTTACTTGCTAATTGCAATTGCAAACTCTGTTTTATTGATAGTTTAGTAGTTATCTGCCTTAAGAAGCTCAAGAAAGATCTTACTTCAGAATGAGAATGGAAATACAAGTTTAGATGAGGCTAGTGAACCAATAATGTTGCATGGCTAATAAATTAATGTGGCCTTTCTGAACCACGCTGAACAGGACAGGTATGTGTATTGTATTTCACAGATAGAGAGGCAAAGAGAAAGCTCTCTGATGTTACAAAAGTCTCTAAAATAATTTGTGTGAAGATTTCAAAGCTCCCAGTCCAACTTTGCTTTAATTTGGTTCACATTCCAATTGATTTAATTCTCATGCGTGTTAATAAGTCAAATTTATTGAATGTGTTTACCCTTTGTTTTGAACACTCAGGAAGGATGTGAGGCAGTGCCTCACAGGGCAACGGTGTATGTCCAGTTAGTGGAATCCAAAAGAATGTGGTCCTGGAACAAACTGTTTCCTATTCATGTGGAAGCAGAGGATGGTGAAAAAGTTATCGTCTCCCCTTCAGAAGTGGAGAACTGTCCAGGTGTTCCTTCTGTTTGTGATATCCAGCTGAACCAGATGCCTTCAAGTGACTTCACCATCCTTAGTGATGTGGTGCCAATGTTCAGGTAAGGTAGCATTGTTTTGTTCAGAACAAAATTTTCCTGTTATGCCTTTTATCTAAGTTGTGTATTCAGCTTAGGAAGCTAGTGAGAATTTCTGAAGAATGCTGAACTATTTCTTTTTACAATTTTGATGCTTCTCTGCAGTGTGGATTTCAGTAAGCCAGTAAGGAGTGCTTCTACCTACTATAGAGTGCAGCTGGAGCCTGTAAAATCTGGCAAGGCACAAGTCGTGCTTTCCTGGTGGGATATTGACATGGACCCTTCTGGGATGATAAATTGCACAATGGCTCCATACTGGGTAAAATCCACTTCTGCTTTCCAGGTAAAATATGAGCCTTCAGATACTATCATCAGATGACTACCAGTAATTATTTTGAACAAAGGCCATACTGGGTGCTTTAAGCAGCTGTCACTTAGACTGTATAGGAACTTTGCTAATGTTTTATGCATTGGAAGATGCTAAGAAAGCAAGTGTTAACTTTAGTATGTACCTGTTTTAGGATATAAGTCCTAATGTAAAGCTTAAAAACTGAAGCTTTCTTCCAGACTTTTATTTTATTTTGGTTTATTTTATTTT